ACCCTCATCATCTATTGGACACACACACACACACACACACACACACACACACAAGCTTGAAGTTGAGCCATAGCTCAGGTGGTAGAATACTAGCTTTGAGCTAAAGGACAGTGCTCAGGTGGTAGTTCAAGCCCCAATACCAGTACTTAAACAACTAAACAAAATCAAAGAATAAATTAGGGAAAGAATTTAAGTGTAAAAGGATTATTTGATTTAAGCAAATAATCACAATATATGTGATAGGCATTTAAAATGTAATTTGGCTGAGAGCTGGCTGCTCATACTTGCTGAGATCTGATCATCACAGTCCAAAGCCAGCCTAGGCAGGAAAGTCTGTGAGACTCTTTTCCCTAACAAACCGCTAAGTAGCTGAAAGTGGAGGTGTGCCTCAAGTACTAGAGTGCCTGTCTTGAGCCAAATAGCCAAGAGACAGCACCCAGACCCTGAGTTCAAGCTCCAGTAACAGCACACAAAAGAAAAGTAATTTGATTCATTAAAACCCCTCTCTACACAAAATGCCAAGTAACATACATAGCTTGAATTTATGTGGGGTTGTCTCAGTGTCTTTAGGTCACAGATCACCCTGTGTTCAGGACTGCTTGCAAGATGGAGTCAGTATCCTGATTCTCAAGTCACAGACGAGGAATGAATGAAGTCCTTCTCATGCCACACAGAACAGATGGAAGATGTCAGAAGTGAGGGCAGCTATATATGCTTTTAAGACCCCTTCAGAACATCCTTTCCTTTTTATTTTTTCAGATTTGCATTTTGCCTTGAGACAGATCTCAGGGATATAGGTCTTTAGACAGTTTTGTAGTTGTGTAAGGGGAGAGTACTAAAACAAACCCAAATGGCTACAGTGATGCTAGGTGACATGATCTGAGGGGACCACTTCTTAGATGGGTGCTCTGCTGTTAACAGAAGCACCATTATGTGGTATAGGAATACAACCCATTTTCCACAACTAGGATTCTTCTCTGTCTGTACTCCACTGGGGTATGTGTGTGTGTGTGTGTGTGTGTGTGTGTGTGTGTGTGTGTGTGTGTGTGTGTGTACCTCACTTGTAAACCTATGATCTTGTGAGTTACACTATCATGTCTTATGTATGTATGTTTAATCCTTCACTAGTCCATCTTTATACCTTAACATATTCAGGATGGCGCCTGACACAACTGGTGGGTTACTCAGTAAAACTCACTTGTGGAATTGAATGTAGCTCTTATTTTGGAGGTTTGTCTCAAATAAAATGATAAAACCATCACTTAGAAACCTAAGTTGGATGAAATTACTTTTAGTTTCTTATCGTATATCCAACAAAAGGCTACCTTTGAATAGAGAGACTGTTGGGAGTGGCTGGAGAAACTGACCAGGCCAATACATTGTCAGAATTATAAATCAGCTAACACTAAGATATCCAAGTTTGTAGAGAGGACAAACCAGTGGCCATGGGTGGAGTTGGGAGAGATGGGTGTAGAATGATGGAAGGGGTGACATCAGTCAAGATGAATTATACTCAGAAACTGACATGTTGAACTGAAACCCCTGTGTAGAACTCCTTAAAGACAAGTTAAAACTTATTTTTTAATATTCCTACTGCTAGGATCTCTGGTTACTGGATGAGTAAAACCAGATAGAACTGAACTCCAGATAATGGGGATCTCAAAGAAATGGACTCCGATACAGCCTGTGGTCCTCACTGGTAATGGATTGTCCAACAAAACAAAAAATACCCATCCAGAAGTAACTATATCAGAGCCTGCCCCAAGGCTTACATACAGAGGTGTACAAGGAAAACCAAATGATTATTGCATCCCAAAGCCCCCATGAATAAAGTGTTATAAGAGTAAATTATGATCAACTCTGTCAAATGTGTCAGAGGTCTTATTAACAGAGGCTTGGGAAAGGATCCTTAGATTCGACAACAAACTAGTTTGAGGGCAGCATTAGAAGCACAAGTTGGCTAGATGAAATTCAGACTAATGTTGATCTCTATTTCTCATTCTAGGGAGTAAGGTCAGAGCCAACAATGTTACTCTTCTAATCTATACTGTTTTCTTTTTGAATGCAGGGCCTCATGCTTGCTAGTCAAGTTGCTTGCTAATCAAGTGCCCTCTCCCCTTGAGTCCCACCTCTAGCCCTTTTTTTGCTTTAGTTATCTTTCAGGTAGGGTCTCATGTTCTTTCCTAGGGCCAGCCTCAGATCATAAACCTTCAACCTATGGCCCCCTAGACAGATTGGACAACCATACCTTGCTTATTAAGAGGGGATCTTACTAGCTTTTTATCTGGCCTGACCTTGAACTATTTTTTTTTTTGGTGGGGGGGGGGGGGTGTCCGGTCGTGGAGCCTGAACTCTGGGCCTGGGCACTGTCCCTCAGCTCTTCAGCTCAAGGCTAGCTCTCTACCACTTGAGCGTGGAGCCTGAACTCTGGGCCTGGGCACTGTCCCTCAGCTCTTCAGCTCAAGGCTAGCTCTCTACCACTTGAGCCACAGCGCCACTTCCAGCTTTTTTTTCTGCTTATGTGGTGCTGAGAAATCGAACCCAGGGCCTCAAGCATGCAAGGCAAGCACTCTACCACTGAGCCACCTTCCCAGCTTGCCTTGAACTATTTATTATTCACCTGGTCCCCGCCTAGCCATGTAGCTGGAATTACAGGCATGTGAAACTGTATCTAGCTTAATTTACACATTTTTTATTTGTATGAAATATCTTGTAAATTAAGAATCAATGGGATCTGCCGGGCGCCAGTGGCTCACGCCTGTAATCCTAGCTACTCAGGAGGCTGAGATCTGAGGATCGCGGTTCAAAGCCAGCCCAGGTAGGAAAATCTGTGTGACTCTTATCTCCAATAAACCACCAGAAACCAGAAGTGGCACTGTGACTCAAGGTGAAGAGCTGAGGGACAGCGCCCAGGCCCAGAGTTCAAGCCCATGACCAACAACAACAAAAAAAAAATCAGGGGCTGGGAATGTGTCTCAGTTGTAGAGAGCTTGCTTTGCATGCATGAGGCCCTGGGTTCGATTCAAGTGGTGCTATGGCTCAAGTGGTAGAACCTTAGCCTTGAGCTGACGAGCTGAGGGATAGTGCCCAGGCTCTGAGTTCAGGCCCCACAACAGAAAGAAGAAAGAAAGAAAGGAAGGAAGAAGGAAGGAGGGAAGGAAGGAAGGAATGTAAGAAGGAAGGAAGGAAGGAGAAAAATCAATGGGATCTTCAAATCAAAATGGCTCCATAGCCATCATACTTAACTGTAACAACCGATTTATGTAGACTTTAGACATTCATCCCACCAGACTAGTTGGAAATTGTCTTGGTCTTTACAAAGGTTCCTCAATTTGAGAGTCATACAACAGATCGTTTTTCCTCAGCTTGAAGGTTATACAATGATTGAGGAAGACCTCTCCAGTAGTCAGCCACTCCAAACTGGTCCACCGACACACATGGCAGGTTCTATGTACAGTGTGCCCTGCTATGTCTCCTTGCATTTGGGATGCAGAGGGTGGAGGGTTGGTAGTCCCTGGGTTTAGAATTCTGTTTTCTCAGCTTATTTATTATATAGCTAACCTTTCTGAGCCTTTTCCAAAACCTCAAGTAAAACAAGCTACAAGATTCTCTGATTCTCTCTCCCTCTCTCCCTCTCTCCCTGCATCCTCTGTCTATTTTTGTGGTAATGCTGTAAATTTTTTTCCTGTCGTGGTGTTTGAACTGCCTGGGCACTGTCCCTGAGCTTTTTTTGCTCAAGTCTAGTCCTCTACCACTGTGAGTCAGTACCACTTTTGGTTTTCCGGTGATTAATTGGTGATTAACTGTCTCTCAGACTTTCCTGTCCAAGCTGGCTTCAAACCACAATCCTTGGATCTCAGCCTTCTGCGTAACTAGGATTTGTGGCATCTGGCCTGTACTTAATTATTAGAGAATTAAAATGTGGCTGTTATTATCCTCAGGAGCTGCCTTCATGTACTTAAGAATAGAGGGACTTTGGTAAGGAGCACTTAACTCCTTAGCTCCAGTCCTCCCATGTCCCCCCAGATTCCCTCTGCTCCCTCTCTTTCCCCACTTCTCTTCTGACGAGGTCTCTTTTGTCAAACCCTTTTCCAAGAAGAACTCTCCATAGAAATCCATTGCTTTTGCCACATCTTCTCTTCCAACCCATTTGTGTCCAGTTTAACAACTTCTCTACTTGACACTATACTGCAATCATTAAGTCTAAAGCAGAGAATTGATCATTTAAAATAACAACAACATATATTCAGTCCCCATTGAAAGAGCACAGATCCAAAGTTTGTACAGCAAAGATTCTTTCTCCCAGTTAAACAATTTATATATTTGCTTGAGGAGGCAGACAGAGAGAGAGAGAGAGAGAGAGAGAGAGAGAGAGAGAGATCTAAACTCATAAGGCACTTTTGGCCTTCACTTTGATAAATAATGATTTGTATGTTTTCTTACTCAGGGATGACATTTCTTTACCAAACCAGAGCCTTTTCCTAGTTGGAAAGAAAGGAAACATTTTGGAAAGTAAGTCATTAAAAGCATCTCTCTTTTCTTCTCTCTCTCTCTCTCTCTCTCTCATCAGTGTTGCTTTCTTTAATAACTTGGAATTAAGTTGTGTTTTAGAATTAAATTTTAACTTAATTTTATTTCTGCAATGCACATTCATGAATTAGACACTTACATGGTCCTTAAGATGAAAAGTTCTTGCTCTGTCCTCCCTCCCCCAACTTCCAGACAGAACCAATGCTGTCCATTCTTTTTTTGCTGCTTCTTCTGGTATTTCTCTCCTGTTGCTAAGCAACCTGCTTGTACAGCTACTCATAAATGTAGTTAACATGCATTCTCTTGGATGGAAGATAGGAACTCAGGCTTTTCATACTTTTCCCCCATGCATGCATAGCCTTCTCCCCTCATTTCCCAGGGTGGAGGGGTGGAAATTATATCATAGTATTTCTATATTCATGTTATTCTCTATGTAAATATTATTCACAGCTGAGCCATGTATATTCCACAGGTATATTCCTTCTTTTATACAATATATCTTTTTCTGTAGCACTTAATAACTGTATTCTCTTCTTATTTGCTTATTTTCCTATATATGTATCCCCAATTAATCCCAAGCTCACCAAAAGAAATAAAAACTCCTCTCAAGATGTGTGAATCAGTTGGTTTCCTGTTTTTCTTGGCAATGTCCCTCTAAGAGTCCTTTGAGATTGCTCCAATCTGCACAAGGTGCTTTCTGAACTCATCTGTACACCAATATCCTGGTAATTTTCTTCCTTCTTCCCCTGAGTCAGATTCCTTGGTTCAGAGCTGCCATGTTTTTCTCTCTTGATTTAATCTCTTGTGTTGAAGATGTACATCTTCCAGTAGTTTTCTGATAAAAGTAGAAGGGTAATGAAAAGATTAAAATGTGGACCTCTTTTGTACTGAACATGTCTCTATCTACCCGATCATTTGTTGAAGGTTTTTTCATAATAGAGACTTTTCTTCAAATGTGCAGTGGTCATTGTTTATAACCAAGAAAATTGTTAGACAAATGTCTAGCTTTTCATTGGGAAGATTCTCAGCTGTCAGTGTCTCTTAGCCATTTTTCTAGGACAGGGCTATTTCCCCACATACAGAAGGTTCCAGAGTCCTGTCTGGATATCCATCTGCCTGTCATCATTCTGAATAGGAAAGACACTGTTTGGGGGCGGAGGGAGTCTTTGTTTAATAAGAAGGCTGAATGAGTCCATCCCTAGCTTTAGAGCACCAACTCCCTCCCAGCCTATTGACCTGGTTCCAAGGGTCAGCATTTTCTAAGAGTAAACGTTGGTCTTCACGTGGAGATGAGGAAGGATATTTATGCCTGGTGGTAGGACACTTAGAAACTTCCTTAGCTAAAAGGCACTGACATCTCACTCTGAATACGAGTTAACAGTCTCCATTTTGCATCAATCTCCTCTGCTCTAGGTCTCTCTCCTGCAGCCACTTTGGAAGCAGGGTGTGATGGGACTGGTCACTATTATCTTTATGATAACAAAAGACTGCACCCTACCTTCGAAGAACAGCAGAGCCCCACAGGACAGCCCCCCCAAACACACACATATCCAAATGAGGGAAATCATCTATGATGAAGGAGGTTCCCTGCACTCTTCAAGCAATGACAGTGAAAAAAATGGTTTTTTTTTTAATCCCTCACAGAACCAGAACCTTTGCCCAGAATTGCTTACACATGGCATACCTCGCCCCCACTACCCCAATTCTTCCTCTATTTAAACTTAAATCACATATCAGTACCCTAAAAATGTGTTGGAATGCCTTCTGCCCTCTTCCCATTAAAAAGTTCTTCTCTAACCTTTACTACTTCTCCTTTCTATAATTGGTACATTGGGGTGAGTGGCTGGACCAGACACATTAGAACCCTCAGGGTTGGGTCCTTGACCTAGAATTCTGCTTACAATTGGGATAGGAAGGGTCTGATTCAGACTGTCCACCAGTGTCCCCAGAGGTTCACAGGGGTAGCAGTGGGGAGATCCCACTGAGAGGCAACACTTCTGCATGGAACTTTTGTTTTGGTTTTGGTTTTCTGGTGCTTGAACTTGGGGCCTAGACACGCTGTCCCTGAGCTTTCTTGCTCAAGGATATCATTCTACTGCTCAACCCACAGTTCCATTTCTACCTTTTTGTTAGTTAATTATAGGTAAGAGTTTTCATGGACTGGCTAGACTGGCTTCAAACAGCAGTCCTCAAATTTCAGCTTCCTGATAGGTAGGATTACGGACATGAAGCACCCATGCCCACTTGAATGGAGGCATTTAAAACTCCTACTAGCGGGGCTGGGAAGGTGGCTCAGTGGTAGAGTGCTTGCCTTGCATGCCTGAGGCCCTGGGTTCGATTCCTCAGCACCACATAAGCAAAAAGAAAAAAAAGGAAGTGGCACTGTGGCTCAAGTGGTACAGCGTTAGCCTTGAGCTGAAGAGCTGAGGGACAGTGCCCAGGCCCAGAGTTCAGGCCCCACGACTGGACCCAAAAAAGAAAAAAAAAAAACAAAAAAAAAACTCCTACTAGCACTGGGAACTTGGATGCATTCCTCTGTGTGTGTGTGTGTGTGTGTGTGTGTGTGTGTGTGTGTGTGTGTGTGTGTGTACTGGGCTTGAACACAGGACCTCTCTGCTTGGCTGTTTTGCTCAAGGCTGGTACACTAGCACTTGAAACATAACTCTAGTTCTGGTTCTTAACTCATTGATTAGAGATAGTCATGGATTTGTCTGCCCAGGCCAGCTTCTAACTGTGATCCTCAGATCTCAGCCTCCTGAGTAGCTAAGATTATAAACATGTGCTATCGGTCCTGGCTTGGACACATTTTTTGGGGGGGGGGGTCAGTCATGGGGCTTGAATTCTGGGCCTGGGCGCTGTCCCTCAGCTCTTCAGCTCAAGGCTAGTGCTCTACCACTTGAGCTACAGCGCCACTTCCGGTTTTCTGGTGGTTTATTGGAGATAAGAGTCTCACAGTCTCTCCTGCCCGGGCTGGCTTTGAACTGTGATCCTCAGATCTCAGCCTCCTGAGTAGCTAGGATTACAGGCGTGAGCCACCAGTGCCCTGCTTTTGGACACATTTCTTAATCTCTCTGAACTTCCAAGTTCACTTCTGTAAAACGAAAACTCAGTTTGGGTATGATAGTTGTGTGGGATGAGTGAATGTAAAATGCCTGGCATAGTCTTCTCTCCACGGCAAGGGCATTGTAGGTGGTAATACAGAGAACATGGTGGTACCTGGTGGTATCCTTGGCCTTGTCTCAGTGGATAGGAAGGATCCCCTGCCACTTTCTAGTACTCTTTTACACTCTACTCATATCCCAATGACATCTTAATAGAATCTCAAGGGCACAACCATCTTTGTAACTTGCTCTTTACCCTACCTTTTCTCTGAGGGCCTCAGAGAAACTCTTTATTGCAGTACCCATTCTAGTACACTATTGGTTGGGACTGAAGACTGCAGTGAAGTAAGCTCAAACCCAGCCTCACAGTAAAATTGTCACATGCCCATGTCCTATTCTTCTTCCCTATTCCTTACACAATTCCTCTAACCCCTAAAGTAGTGGCCCAGGCCACTTCCATGCTTCAAATGCCCTAGCAAGGAAGAAGCAAAGGGAACATTCCATGTGCTAGCACCCATTTCTTGGGAGAAAAGTGAAATTCCTCTTTCCTGCTGTTTATCATTAGCTCTCTTTTGCCTGACTCCTTCTCCTTCCTTCTCTCCCTGTCTTTGTTTGGGTCCTTGGCTTGCTTTGTTTGCAGGGAAGACATTTTTTTTTTTTTTTTGGTTGTTGTTGGTCGTGGGGCTTGAACTCTGAGCCTGGGTGTTGTACCTCAGCTCTTCAGCTCAAGTCTAGCACTCTACCACTTGAGCTACAGCACCACTTCCAGTTTTCTGGTAGCTTTTTAAAATTGGAAATAAGAGTTTCACAGACTTTCCTGCCCGGGCTGGCTTTGAACCGTGATCCTCAGATCCCAGCCTCCTGAGGAGCTATGACTACAAGCATGAGCCACCGGCGCCCAGCTAGGGCAGCCATTTTTTTAACCTTCAAGACTCTCTGGGTTCTTAAGATGTTCTTCTTATCTGCACTAGGGCCTCCAGCTGGGTTGTTAACTGGCTGGATCTCAAGGGATTTAATAGGAAAGGAGAGATTGAGAAACTGAGGACGTTGTCGATTGTCTTAATTTTAAGAATTTAGAATGCCCTGATGGACCGCTGTCTCCTACAGAATCTGATAAAAAGAAAGCTGCACTCGAGGTATTTTTTTTCCCAACTGGATATTGCAGCATGCAAGACTCTAAGAGAGATTTTTACCTCATTTATTCCCCAGTTAGACTCAAACACAGAAGGTATACCTAGTGAAATGTCTTGAGATTTGTCTTATTAACAAAAGACATAAGTTAATTAAATGTTGACGATACTTGTGAGAATGATGCAAGCACAAAATAATTTGAAGCTGGGCGCTGGTCTCACGCTTGTAATCCTAGCTACTCAGAAGGCTAAGATCTGAGGATCACGGTTCAAAGCTAACCCAGGGAAGGAAAGCCTGTGAGACTCTTACCTCCAATAAATCACTCAGAAAACTGGAAGTAGCACGTGGCTCAAGTGGTAGAGCCCTCGCCTTGAGCTGAAGAGCTGAGGGACAGCGCCCAGGCCCAGAGTTCAAGACCCACAACCGACAATAATAATAATAATTTGGAGACTGTGAGTGGTAGACAAAAAGAAGTATGAACAACCTCACCTAATAACACTTTACAATCTTGTTTCTGTTTTCATCCACATACATATAGGAAGTCTGAACTTCATCTTTGCCTTCTGTAGATGTTCTTTACTGAGTACAGCCTTTAATCTATCCTTGAAATTCTCCCCAGCAAAGTAATAGAGGAAAGGATTGAAGCAGCAGTTGGCAGCAGCCAAGGACAATGTGATGACCACAGCTTTATGCAGCCAGTCCCCACATGAGTCCTTGTGCCACGTGACCAGGTGGAGGGTCCTCAGTGTGTGATAAGGCAGGAAACACAAAAGGAAGATGATCAAGGCAATGACGATGGTGGTCAGAGCTTTCCTGTGCGAAGCCCGCAGGCCCAGTTCTGGAATTTCTACCTTTAACAGGACCCGAATGATCAGCAGGTAACAGGTGGTGAGTGTGAAGAATGGTATCAGGAAGCCTACCACCAAGGCAATGTGGTTCATGACCAGCAGCTTCTCACGCTTTTGAGAATTCAGTTCCAAACACGATGTGATGTTGTCCTTCTTCTCAGAGCCACTCTTCAGAAGCACTGATGAGGAAGCCATGATGAAGGCCCAGATGACGGCACAGAGAATCCAGGCACTCCTGATGCTGGTGAGGTGCAAGAGCTGAAGCGGGTGGACAGTGGCCAGGAAACGCACCACACTCAGCACAGTTAGGAAGTAAATGCTGGTGTACATGTTCACATACAAGGAATAAGACATAATTCTGCAGGCCAGGTCCCCAAATCTCCAGTCAGAACCTCTAAAATAGTAGTCAGCCCGAAAGGGCAGAGTGATTGTGAACAAGAGATCTGAAATGGCGAGGTTGAGCATGAAAACATTCACAGATGTCGACTTCTTATAAGGCTGTAGGAAGATGTATACAGAAAAGCCATTTCCCAAGACTCCCCAGATAAATATTATTGGATATATGATTGGGTAAAATTCTTGCTTGAAGTTTTCAATCGTGCAGTACATGTTGCTGTTGTTCAAGGTTCCATTTGGTTCCATTTCAGGCATGGAGCTGAAGAGAGGTAAAGACATGTTTCTTTCTCTGCAAAAGAAAGTAACAAACACAAAAAGTTACCTGTGAATTCTCTTCAGTTCATGATTGTATGTTTGTATGCGGTAGTGAAACCAGGAGGAATATTTTTTTTTCTTTGAAACAGGAGTTGAAGACTATTTGGTTTAGTCTTTACTACATATTACTTTATATTTCATGATACATTTTCTAATTTAGAAAATATAGGCTAACCAGTAATTTATTTGACTGGATCTGAGCCTCAGATTCAGGGAAATTTTGAACTTGGGATACTGCAGCTTAAATCTACTGACAAAAGATTTCTTGCCAGAAACTACTGAAGATAGATAAAAGTGGTATGACAATTTTTGAGTACTAGAGGAAAAAAAAAACCTCTCCAACACAAAATTCTATCTCCAGAAAAAACTATCTCTTGAGCATAAAAGAGAAATAAAGTCATTTTTAGATGATAGAAAATTAAGAATTTTTTTTGACAGCAGATCAATAGAAAGGATGTTCCCTAAACAGAAAGGAATTGATTTAAACAACAACAGGGCTGGGAAGGTGGCTCAGTGGTAGAGTGCTTGCCTCGTATGCATGAAGCCCTGGGTTCAATTCCTCAGTACCACATAAATAGAAAAAGCCAGAAGTGGTACTGTGATTCAAGTGGTAGTGCCCTAGCCTTAAGCTGAAGACCTGAAGGCCCAGAGTTCAAGCCCTATGACTGACAAAAAAAAAATTAGAAAAGAAAAAATATAATAAGCAAAAACATGCATCAACACAGTGGGCTTTTTTCGGGGGGGGGGGGTATCCTGGGGCTTAAACTCAGAGTCTAGGCACTGTCCCTTATCTTTTGTGCTCAAGGCTAGTGCTCTACCACTGTAAGCCACCATGCCATTTGGTGTTAATTGGAGATTTGGTAGTTAATTGCAGATAAGACTCTCACAGATTTTCCTGCCTAGGCTAGCTTTGAACTATGCTCTCAATCCCCAGAGTAGCTAGGATTGCAGATGTAAGCCACTGATGCCCAGCTCCTTCTCTTTTTAAGTGTGTGTTTGATTTGATGTTTGAAATAAAAACTATCATATTGTCTAATATGATTTTAGATATGTTTGAAGAAAACCTGCTTAATAAAACTGTTTAAATAAAAATGTTTAATGTGATCTATTTAATATAACTACATTCTATAAGAGGGAAGATAAAGAGATGTAAAGGGACTTAAAGTTTATTTATCTCATTTAAACTGGTAAAATGATGAGGCTAATGGACTTATTAATGTTTGTATAATGTTACATTGTAATATAATGCCTAAAGCATCAACTAAAAAGCTCTGCAAAAATAGTCACCAACAACTGCTGATGAATCAAAATGTAATTTTTGTTTGTTTGTTTGCCAGTCCTGGTGATTGAACTCAGGGCCTGGGCACTCTCCATGAGCTTCTGTGCTCAAAGCTAGTGCTCTACAACTTGAGCCACAGCTCCACTTCTGGCTATTTAGTAGTTAACTGGAGATAAGAGTATCATGGATTTTTCTGGCCAGGGTTTCTTTGGACTGTGATCCTCAGATCTCAGCCTCATTAATAGAATCACAGGCATGAGCACCAGCACTCAGCTCAAAATGGAATTTTTTTGGGGGGAGGCGTCCAGTCATGGGGCCTGAACTCTAGGCCTGGGCGCTGTCCCTCAGCTCTTCAGCTCAAGGCTAGCGCTCTACCACTTGAGCCACAGCACCACTTCCAGCTTTTTTTCTTTTTGCTTATGTGGTGCTGAGGAATTGAACCCAGGGCCTCAGGCATGCAAAGCAAGTGCTCTACCACTGAGCCACCTTCCCAGCCCCAAAATGGAATTTTTTAAGTGCAGGATCTAACATGAAGGCAAGAAAAAAGAAAGCAGGTAATATAAACCAAAAGTAATAATAACATGACAAGCATATCCCTAATATGTTAAAAATTAGATTAAATCTAAATATATTAATTAAAAGAGAGGTTACCAGACCAGAATATGAAAAACAAAAACAAAACCAGACCCAACTACAATGGTTTACAAGAAATTCACCTTAAATAGTCTTTAACCACAAGAAAAAGAATGAAAAATATATATCATTCCAATTAAAGGGAATCAAGAAGAGTTCTATTAGTACAAGATAAAGTAAATCTTAGTAATTTGTCTACTGACAAGATATGCAACATACTAATTCTTTTCTTCCTTTCTCCCTTTATTTTTTTTTTCCTTTTGGCAAAACTGGGGTTTGGACTCAGGGCCTTGTTTCTGCTAGGTAGGTGCTGTACCACTTGAACTGCATACTCAACCCAAGACATATCAACTCTAAATGAATATGTACCAAACAACAGAGTTGCAAAAGATGTTAAACAAAAACTGAAGGTAAGAAGGGAGAGCAAAAAGGATGGAGGGAAAGAGAGAGAAAGGGAAGCAGACAGGTTGGGAAAGAGGGAGGAGATAGCTGCTCATTTTCAGACCCTCTCTCAACAACTGTTAGAGAAAATTGTCAAAAAATCAGCAAGGATACATGAAAACTAAAACCACCCTAAATCAGCTATATCTAATTGACATTGACAGGACACTTCCTCCAACTAAAGTGAAAATACACTCTGTTCAACATATATCAAGATAAACCACATCTTGTGAACACAAAATAAACCACACAGGTTTAAGAGAATTTAGATCACATAGGGTTTGTTCTCTAACCACAATCAACAGCAAGAATAACAGGAAAATCTCCAAATATCTGGAAGTGAAACAACACAATTCTAAATTATCTATAGGCCAAAAAAGAAACTTCAAGAGAAAACAAAAATGCAATATAACAAAACTTAGGAGACACAGTAAAAATAGTGCTGTATTAAACTAAATGCATATATTACAAAATAAATAAGCATCAAGTTAATAATACAAGTTCCCATCTCCAGGACCTTTTTAAAAAAATAACAAAACAAGCCAAAGCAAGGTTGGAGATAATGAAGATGAGCAGAAGTCAAGAAATTTAAAACAAAAAAATACATAGAACAATTGAAGAAAAAACTAGTTTTTTGAAAAGATTAATACAATGGATAGGCCTCTAGAAAGAATGACCAAATTAAAAATACAGCAGTCAAAAATTATTAACAGGAAGAAAACAAGATATCTTTAGTAAAAGAAATAGAATGATAAGAGAATGCTATGAACAACCTTATAATCATAAACTTAACAATTCAGATGAGATGGCCAAATGCCTCATATAACACAGCTATCTCAAAATGCCCAAAATGGAACATATCATTTGACTAGACTATTAACGCAATTAAATTCTTAATACTCTCTAAAAAGAAATATTCAGATGGTTTCACTGGAGAATTCTACCAACTATTTAAATAAGAATTGACATCAATTTCATCTATTCTCTCTCCAAACTAGAAAAGGAGGGTACACTTCCCAATTTATTCTATAAAACTCTAATTACTTTCATACTAAAACCAAAAAAAAGATAATATGAAACAATATAAAACAGAAGACCATAATTCAGTGCTCCTTATGAATAAAGATGTAAAATATTAGCAAATGGAATTTATCAATATATTAAAAAAGAATGGTACACCATTATCAAGTATATTTATTCCATGGATGAAAAACTGATTTAATATTCATAAAGCAAAAAATGTAATGCATCTAACTAGAAAAAGAAAAGCCACATTGATTGTGTCAGTCAATACAAAAAATCACATATCAAATTCTATACTCATTCATGATCAAAACTGTCATATAGAGAGGAATACAGGAGAATTTCTCCAACTTGAGAAAGAGTATATTAAAAAAAAAAAACCTACAGATAATGTCCTAAATGGCAAAAGACTTTTCTCCCCAAAGATTGGGAGCAATACAAGGACACTCACTCACAGTGCTCTTAATAATCCTTTCTAGTAAAATAAAAGAAAATGAAAGTCACACAAACCAGAAAGGAAAAAAAGTAAAATGCTCCCACTTTCAGGTAACATAATTCTCAAGACTACAAAGCCCTGGGTGATCTCACACACACACACACACACACATACACACACCTACACACACACACACACACCTACCTTCTGGAAATGAACATGCAAAGGCCTTGCACACAGTGGCTAAAAGCTCGGGACTGGCATTCTATGCAGTGTCCTTTTGATTAACTTGGCACCCTCTGGCCTATCTTTGTGACTGTGGGAACTATTTGGAGACAAGGAGGTTAGACTGCCTGGTTGCTGTCCTTTAGTTTTCCACTCAAGGCTGGCATTCTACCCCTTGGGTCCCAGTTCTACTCCCAGCTTTTTGGTGGTGGTTAAGTGGAAATAAGAGTCTCATGGATGCTCCTTCCAGAGCTGGCTTCAAATGAGAATTCTCAGATCTCAGCCTCCTGACCAGTTAGGACTATAGGCATTGGCACCTGGTTTCTGAGAACTATTTTATTTCACTTAGCTTTGATTGGAGACAACTGAGTTTTGTCCAAACTCCAGAGGCACAAAGTCTCTGATGACAAGTGCCATCTTTACAGACTGTTGCAGCTCTGAGGGCTCACCTCAAGATAGCCTTGGCCCTCTTCCTGCTATCCTTATGGCAGTCTCCCAGAGACAACCTTCGAGAGACTCTGTGACATGGAGATTACTCACCCGAGAGGCACTTTAGAACAAAAAGCGGAGAAACCAAGAAGAGAGTGTCTTGTTAGACTAAAAGAGAAATTTTTGTTTAAAGCTGGAGAGATAGCAGGTATAGGTGGCTCACACCTGTCAACCTAGCTGTACAGAAGGCTGAGATCTGAGGTTTGAGGTTCAAAGCCAACCCAAGCAAGAAAACGTGTGAGACTCTTACCTCTAGTTAACCACCAAAGGCCAGAAGTGGAAGTGTGGCTTAACTGGTACAGTGTCCACCTTGAGCAAAAAATTCTTGAACTCAGGCTCTGAGTTCAAGCCCCAGTACTGGCACCAAAGACAGAGAGAGAGAGAGAGGGGGAGAGAGAGAGAGAGAGAGAGAGAGAGAGAGAGAGAGAGAGAGAGAGAGTTGGACATA